GGAGGAGACGGACGTGGTCTCTTGCTGTCAGTCTGACAGTTTCTTTGGGCCTCGCACCCCCAAGACATGCGGCTTGCGGTCCTCTTCCACGGGCCCTGCTGCCACCAGGGTGTATGCCGGGCCCCCGACTACGATCCTCCAGTGCAACCATGGGGTCCTTTCCCCCCGTCCTTCGTCCTCCCTCCCCACCTCCCTCCCTCCCTTCCTCCTCTCTCTTTTCCTCCTCCTCCTCTTCCTCCTCCTCTTCCTCCTTCTCCCTTCTCCCCTGGGGAGGTAGGAGGCTGCCTGACTGCATTGGAGTGTCCTTCTGCGAGGTTTTTCCGTGATGGACTGGAACCCGTCGTACGGATGACCCCTCCCTGCACAGCATGGGGTGCCGAAAGAGGGCGCTGCTCGGGAGCGGAACAGTTGGCCTTCAGTGCTGAAGGCGCGCGGTTGTGAGGAGCCGAGATTGCCATTTACCCCGTCTGGCAGTGAGGGAGGACTGACCCGAGCGCGGGGCGTCGCAGGCGGGGGTCGGCGGCGGGCCCGCGGGCTCATGCCGCGGGGTTTCTCGTTCAACACTTGCGGGATGTGTAGCTGCAGGGGGGGTCGACGGCCCGACGGGGTGCACCTTCTCAGAGGAGCCTTGTGGCAGGGAAGCAAGAGAGGTGGGTGAAGGGGGGGGGAAGGGGAAAGAGCGGCAGAAGCTGGGCGGGGGCGCGCGGCTCGCAGCCGGGTTGCGTGCACAGAATTAGTCAAAGCGCCCCTGGGCGTGCCGCGAGGTGAGCCTGGAGAGCGGCCCGCCACGCCGCCTCTGCGTAGGGGTGGCCCGTATAGACGGGCCTGGACGCCGCGCGGAGGTCGCCTTCATGTTCCCCGCAGTGCGAAGAAGTCGGGCACCGAGAGCGCGCTGCGCATAGACACGGGCACACAGACACGCAAGCGTTTCTTCCTCGGCTGGTGCGGCTCTCTCGTTGTTCTTTTTGTTGTGTTTCTTTCTTTCTTTCTTTCTTTCTTTCTTTCTCTCTCTCTCTCTCTCTCTCTCTCTATATATATATATATCACCAGAGTTGCCAGCAACGCGTGCTTCCAATGCATCGACATGCCCTGTTGGGGAGCAGTTCGGCTATCCTTGGATGTGGAGCTCCTGCCCGGTCCGTCATGCGGTGGCGCGTCCAGTTTTCGGCCTCTGCTCATCAGGGCCCGCATTCCGAAGATGTACTTCGTGGAGTCCAAGTTCCGCGAGTGGGAGAGGCAGCTCGAGAAGGCTCGTCAGATCCCCGAGCTGAACCTGCCCGACCCTCTCGCAAGGATTCGGGAAAAGCTCAGCTTGGAGAACAGGCAGCGGGGCCAAACAATCAGAATCGATTAGGACGCATCCCGCTTCTCCTCGCCCTCCTCATCCCCCACCCTTCCTCACCCCCTTCCCCACCGCCTCCTTCCCTCTTCCATTCCACCCCCTCTCACCCCTCATTCTGGCTGCCCCTCCCGCTTCCAGGGCTGCCTTCTCACTATTCTTCCCTGCCTCCTCCCAGGCTGAAGAAAATGGGCATGGGTGACCCTGACAAGCCGATCAGGAAGTACGGCTACGGCAAAGCTTTCTGAGACTGATGTGGCACTCCCGCACCCCTGCCGTAAAAGCAAAAAGGTCGTCCCATTGCCTTACTCTTCCGCACCCCACCGCATCCCAGCGATCCCGCCACAACGTGCGTTCTGCATCTCTCTGAGACAGCGCTCTCATATTCTCGGCTGCCCGTTGTCGGCGTCTCGGCAGCCGTCTCGTCCTCGATTTTCTGCGCAACGTCTACTTGCGTCGCATCGCTTTTCGTGCACGCGCGCTGAACCTCCCGCATCCCTTGCCCTGCTCTGAGCATTCGCCCGTCACAGCGAAGTCTCGCCTCGATGACACAGCGGCGACCCCAGCGCTGGCGTTCAAGTTTGAACGCCACCAGCTCCCCGAAATCAGATGATCTCGAATGATCTGCAACATCAGAAAGCCGCGGTCGTTCAAGGTTGAACGATCCACCTAGCGTCGTAAGTCAACGCCCACGCCATCAAGAGGTGAACCTGCCATAGTTCGGTCCATCCTTCCCCACTTCCTAGAGTAGGTGGCCACGGCCTCCTGTGTTTCCTGCAAGACCTTCATGCTGTCTTTTTCTCCTGCGCACTGTAATATTGAGGTCACCCCGATGCGCTGCTCGGCCCCCGAGGAAGCATGTATCGGTCCCTAGCGGTCGGGAAACATTTTGCTCCATGTAAGACCGAGAAGGCGACAGTGTTTCAAATCATGCAGCGCACAATGTGTCAACGATTTCTCGAACGTCTTCGGGTCTCTTGGGGGGCCTTTGAGGGGCATTTGGGACTTTACCAGGTAGTTTCTGCGCCATCTTTAAGCCCTCGTGGGCTGTCCCAGACTCTTGCGAAGGCTGTCTTGAACCGTATTGAGGCCGCGTTGGGGCCATCTTGGTCATGTTGAGTGGTTCTCGGGGCCCTCTTGTGCAGTCTTGGAGCTCCGGGAAGCCATATGGACGCAACCTCGAGATGAGAAGCCGAGCATGCGATCAACATTGAACACTCAGAAGGCTTTGACTATTGTAGAGGCCTCCGGCTGGTGCCGCCGATCCGGGACGACCCGCTGTCAGAAGGACACTTTCGCCCCAGCGCGCTTGTTCAAACGTAAGTGGTTTGGAAACTGCTCGGAGGCATTGCGTGGGCTTCCTGATGGGCCTCTACGACGCATCTTCGAGGCCTCCTGGGGGGCGTCTTGGAGATGATTGTTGAGCCTCTTGGGGGCCTCTTGGGTTTCTTGGGGGGCATGCAGGAGGCATCCTGGAGGCCTCCTGGGGGTGTGCAGGAGGTAATTTTTAAGCCTCCGGGAGCGCTTTTGGGAGCCTTTGGGGGGCCTCTTGAGGACCATTTGGAGCCTCTCGGGGTTTCTTGGGGACTCCTAGGGCCATTTTGGTGCCTCCTGGGCGCCTCTTGGGCCGTCTTGGGCCCTTCTGGGGCCGTCATGGAGCCCTCTTGGGCGCTTCTTGGGCCCGTCCTTGGGTCCGCTTGGGCTGTCTTGGGGGCCTCCCGGGCCGTCTGGGGCCCTTCTTGGGCCGACTTCGGGCCCTCTTGAGAGCCTCTGGGCCTGTTTTGGGGGTCTCTTGAGCCGTGTTAGACACTGCGAAGGCCGAAGAAGCGAAAATGCAACAAAAAATGTTATCCTAAGGAAAATGGGACAGATTTTCTGTCTTTGGGCGCTCTACGGAGGTGTCGGGAGGGTACGTTGGAGACTTCTGGAGCCGTCGGAGGAACATATTGAATCTCTTGGAGCGATGTTTCGGCCACTCAGGGCCCTCTTGGGCCGTCTGGGCGGCCGCTGGGTTTTTTATGAGCCCGCGTTCGAGCTCTCGGGGGCGAGGGGCCGACCCAGAGTGAGCTGGAGCTCCGATTTTGCCATCAAAAATGGCTCGGAACCCCCAACCCCCTACCCCGGCAGAGCCACCCCGGCACCCACCCACCCAGCAGAGCTGAAGCTCAAGAACTGAGGCTCAGGCTAGAGATGAGAAGCCGAGCATGCGCTCAACATTGAACACCCAGAAGGCTTTGACTATTTCGGCTGCCAGGGCCTTTCTTGGATCGTCTTGAAATCTCGCTTGGAGACTTTTGCGGGCCTCCTGGTGGGGGCCTCCCGAGTTGCCCCGTGCCTCCTTTAGGGCGTTTCTTGGGAGACTTTGGGGGATCTTGGGGTTGCTTTGGGAAGGCTCAGCCTCTGGCCAGGCTCACTCGACCAGGGGTGCCCAGGAAATATTGGGAGTTCTGGGAAACAGGGAGTCGGGGCACTTACGTATCTTGTTTTTTGTTCAAATTGCACGCCGTAAGAATCTGATTATCTTGGAGCACTCATATTTGCATGAGCGTTTGGGCGTTGCTTTACGTGTCGAGAACACGATGGCGGATAGTGCCTAGTTAATGTATGTGTTGTGCGATATGCTAGGCGTCCGAGCTCGCCAGAGTTGTATGCACTTTCTTCTGGTCCTCGGGTGCTGATGGGATTCGACAACGTAGCATCTCTGTTGATTGGAAATGATTGAATTCAAGGGCGTCTGATTCATTTGCCGCGCGCCTTTCCTTGCCTCGCACTTCGGCATACTCTCACTGGCCCACTATCTCATTCCGCCTACCTTTTCTCATGCCGTGGTTCTTTTGAAAAGCGGGGGCTGGGAGTCTCCAGAGGTCCCAGGAGGCCTCTGGAGGTCCACGGAGGTTTCTGACCCCGCATAACCTCAGGAGGTCTTTTAGTTTTGGTCACCCCCCCGGCTTCTCTCAGCGGGGAACGAACTCGCCTTTCCCTTTTCCTCCTCGTCGTCTTCGTCGTCGCGGCGGAGATGGGTGATAATGAAGCCTCTGAGATTTTCGTGGGGATGTCGTGGGAGGGCTTTCGAGTGTTTTGTTGGGAGGAAGTTTTGAAGCCTATTGGGCGCCGTCTTGGGGGATCTTGGGGGCCTCATGGGGGTCTCTGGGAGCATATTGGGAGCTTTTTGGAGCGTCTTGGACGTCAAGGCCGAGAAGTCGGACATGCTAGAACTGAGATGTTCCTAGAGGAATGTGATGGTGTTTGCTTCTTGCCGCCCTCTTGGGGGTGCTCTTCTTGGGACGTCTTGGGCGCTTTTGTGGCCGAGTGGAGGCTATCTTGGGCGTCTGGGCTCGATCGTTCAGCGATTGTGTAGGGCCTACGTTCTGAGGCCCCCCAAGAAAGCGGAGCAAAGTGGAGCAAACTAAATGCCCAAAGCATACAAACCTCTTGATTGTCGATCTTGGTCGTCGTCCGACCGACGCCCGCCCCAAACAGGCCCCCATGACCCCTCCCAGAGTCTATCCTTGCTAGTATTTCGAGCTGCGTCCTGCCGTGGTGACGATGTCTTCCTGATCGCCCCACAAGCTTGGAAACGACGACAGCGACGACGGCATCGTCTTCGTCGTCATTGTCGTCGCCGACGCCTCGATCCTGCCCTCGGCGTTGGTGTCCTGGAAAGGCGTACCCGCTCCTCATCGTCCGCATGTTCCCAGACGGGCTGCGCGGGCTCATGATCGTCAGCATGGTCTTGGCCATGATATCGAGCCTGGACCGCAGCCCTGGTGCTGGCTGCGGTGGCGATTCAGAACAGGCCCTCAACGTCGAACCACTCGCAGATGTTCCTACTTTTGAGCGCTGTTGAGTTCTCTGGGGGCTGATGCAGCCCTCCGCGTGTGGGGGTGCGCTCTGGGCCTGGACTGCTGCTCAGTGTGGCCTTCAGAGCGCCTTCAGAGCGCCCCTCGCGAAGCCCACGGGCTGTAAGTCGGTTTGGGAACCGTGGGTACCCTGGGCCTGGACCACTTTCGGAAACCTCCTATTGTATTTGCGGAACAGGTCGAAGGACAGTCGACACACGAACATGCAGAGGAGTAAACACGGCGCTGAGTTCAACGCTGAACGCAAGCCCAGTGTTCGCCGGGGAGATTGGCATTTGGGGTCATTGCAGAATAGAAGTATCGCAGGATGTACTTGCCGATCCCATCATGTAGCAATGGAACAGACGAGTCAGTTGAGATGATGGTGGCATTGATACGTGGAGGTGGGTGACGGGAGGGGGAAGACAGGCAGGGAGAGAAAACGGAAGGAGGATGAGCAGGATGAAGTGAAGGAGGAGGAGAAGGAAAAGGGAAAGAAGGAGCAGGATGGGGGCTTGCCGGAGAGGATCGTATGCAAAGCGGATGGCAGCAGCGAGCGTGTTTTTTTCTCGTCCCTCCTCACGCCAATGCACGTTCAGGACTCCGTCTTCAATTGCGTGTCCACGATCTTCACGTTGGACGTGTACAAGAGGCTCCCCTTCCCGAGGAGGGGGATTACGACGAAGAGGAGAAGGAGGAAGACGAAGGATGAGTGGAGGAGGACAAGGAGAGCACGAGGAGGAGGAGAAGGAGGAGGAGGAGGGGAAGAACGCAACGAGGAAAAGGAGGAAGAGAGGCACGAAGACTTGGGGAACGACGATGGAGGCATAATTAAGGAGAATCAGGCGAATGGGGAGGAACGAGAGGAGTCGAAGGGAGAGGAGTGGGAGGAGGTGGAGGAGGACTCGTCCGCGCAGATTTCGCTTGCAAGTTGCGTTCACGCCGGGGCCCTGCACAGATTTTCTCTGCTCGTTAACGCGCTGGCAGTGGGCTCGTGTGAGAGCGGGCGAAATGTCGCTCCTTCCGCCCAAACGCCACGCAGATTTCGCTTGCAAGTGGCGTTCACGCGCGGGCGTGCCACACATTTCTTCTGCTCCCCAATTCTTCGTCAGCGGCGTCGCGCGCGAGCGGGCGAAATTTCGTTCCTTCCGCCCAAACGCCACGCAGATTTCGCTTGCAAGTGGCGTTCACGCGCGGGCGTGCCACACATTTCTTCTGCTCCCCAATTCTTCGTCAGCGGCGTCGCGCGCGAGCGGGCGAAATTTCGTTCCTTCCGCCCAAACGCCACGCAGATTTCGCTTGCAAGTGGCGTTCACGCGCGGGCGTGCCACACATTTCTTCTGCTCCCCAATTCTTCGTCAGCGGCGTCGCGCGCGAGCGGGCGAAATTTCGTTCCTTCTGCCCAAGCGCCACGCAGATTTCGCTTGCAAGTGGCGTTCACGCGCGGGCGTGCCACACATTTCTTCTGCTCCCCAATTCTTCGTCAGCGGCGTCGCGCGCGAGCGGGCGAAATTTCGTTCCTCTCGCCCAAGCGCCACGCAGATTTCGCTTGCAAGTGGCGTTCACGCGCGGGCGTGCCACACATTTCTTCTGCTCCCCAATTCTTCGTCAGCGGCGTCGCGCGCGAGCGGGCGAAATGTCGCTCTTGCCCAAGCGCCACGCAGATTTCGCTTGCAACTGGCGCTCGCCTGGGCGCGGCGCATTTTTCTTGCCCACCCAGTCGTCGGCAACGGAAAAACGCGGCCGCGTGCGAACGGGGAAATGCCGTCCTGGCCGAAGTGCCGCGCAGATTTTTGTTGAAAGTGGAGTTGCCATGTTGGCATGGTGCACGTTTCGCCTTCGCCAGTCGTATCAAAAACTTGGCCGCGCGCGACTGGATTGAAGGACTTGTTTGCCGAAGCTCCGCGCGGGGATGTGCTGAGAGGTCAGAAGAAAGCGCGTTCTGTGGGCGCTTCTAAAACGGGGGGGGGTTGGAACCAGACCCCCCCCCTCCCTGGATTGAGGAGGGGGGTCGACCCCCCTACCGTGACGGACGAAGGGGGGGTTCACACCCCCCCACCTTCTCCTTTCTCCTTCTCCTCGGGTCAGCGCTGGCGTCCGCGGCGGCTGGTGGCGGCGGCGGGGAGCGTCGATGAAAACGACGATTTCGTTTTCTTGGCCGGCGCTGGCGCTTGCGGCGGCTGGTGGCGGCGGCGGCGGGGAGCGTCGACGAGGACGACGGGGACAATGACGACGACGCGAGGACGACGTTCCGCCACCGTGCCTAGGTTTTGGGTCAGCGTCCTCATGGATGCCTCTTTGGGTCTCGTCTGCGGGCCTTCGGGGCGTTTTAAAGGCATTTGAGAATCCTCTTGGGCGCCTCTTGGACGTCCCTTGGGGCCTCTCTGACATGATGGTGGTGGTGGTGGGCTGTGGTGGTGCGGTGGGTTGTGGGTTGTGGTGGTGGTGCTGGTGCTGGCGGTTGTGGTCGTAGTGGTGGCGGTGGTGGTCGTGGTGGTGGTGGTGGGTTGTGGTGGTGGTGGTGGCGGTGGTGGCGGTGACGGTGGTGATGGTGTGGTGGTTTGTGGTGGTGATGTTGGTCGTGGTGGTTGTGGTGGGTTGTGATGGGTTGTGGTGGTGGTGGCGTTTTTGGTGGTGGTGTGGTGGTTTGTGGTGATGGTGGTGGTTGTGGTGGTTGTGGGTTGGGCTGGTCGTGGTGGTGGTTGTGGCGGTGACGGTGGTGGTGGTGGTGTGGTGGTTTGTGGTGGTGGTGGTGGTGGTGGGTTGTGGTGGCGGTGGTGGCGGTGGTGGTGGTGGTTGTGGTGTGGTGGTTTGTGGTGGAGGTGTTGGCGGTGGTGGTTGTGGTGGGTTGTGGGGGTGGTGGTGGTGGTGGAGGTGCCGGCGGTGGTGGTGGTGGTGGTGGTGTGGTGGTTTGTGGTGGTGCCGGTTGTGGTGGTCGGTTGTTTTGTTGGTGAGGTGTTGGTTGTGGCGATAATGGTGGTGTGGTAGATTGGTGGTGGTGGTGCTGGGTTGTTTTGGGTGCAGTGGTGGTGGTGGGTTGTTGTGGTGGAGGTGGTGGTGGTCGCTGTGGTGGTGATGGTTGCGTGGTGGTTTGTGGCGGTGGTGGTGGTTGTGTTGGGTTGTGGTGGTGGCGGTGGTGGTGGTGGTTGTGGTTGTGGTGGTGGTGGTTGTGGTGTGGTGGTTTGTGGTGGAGGTGTTGGTGGTGGTGGTTGTGGTGGGTTGTGGAGGTGGTGGTGGTGGTGGAGGTGCCGGCGGTGGTGGTGGTGGTGGTGTGGTGGTTTGTGGTGGTGCCGGTTGTGGTGGTCGGTTGTTTTGTTGGTGAGGTGCTGGTTGTGGCGATAGTGGTGGTGGTGGTAGATTGTGGTGGTGGTGGTGCTGGGTTGTTTTGGGTGCAGTGGTGGTGGTGGGTTGTTGTGGTGGAGGTGGTGGTCTCTGTGGTGGTGATGGTTGTGTGGTGGTTTGTGGTGGTGGTGGTGGTGGTTGTGTTGGGTTGTGGTGGTGGCGGTGGTGGTGGTGGTGATGGTGTGGTGGCTTGTGGTGGTGGTGGTGGGCTGTGATCTTGGTGGTGGTGGTGCTGCTGCTAATGGTGCTGGTAGCGGTGGTGGTGTTCGTGGTGGTGGTGGTGGTCGCTGTGGTGGTGGTGGTTGTTGCGTGGTGGTTTGTGGTGGTAGTGGTCGTGTTGGGTTGTGGTGGTGGTGGTGGTGGTGGTTGTGGTGGTGGTATGGTGGTTTGTGGTGGTGTTGGTGGTGGGCTGTGATTTTGGTGGTCGTGGTGCTGCTGCTAGTGGTGGTGGTGGTGGTGTTGGTGGGTGGTGGTGGTGGTGGTTGTGGTTGTGGTGGTGGTGTGGTGGTTTGTGGTGGTGGTGGTGGGTTGTGGAAGTGGTGGTTGTGGTGGTGGTGGTGGTGGTGGTGTTTTTGGTGGTGGTGGTAGTTCTTGTGGTGATCGTGGTTGTTGTGGGTTGTGGTGGGTTGTGGTGGTGGTGGTGGTGGCGTTTTTGGTGGTGGTGGTGGCGGTTGTGGTGTAGCGGTTTGTGGTGGTGGTGGTTGTGGTGTGGTGGTGGGTTGTGGTGTTGTGGTGGAGGTGGTGGTGGCGTTGGTGGTGGTGGTGTGGTGGTTTATGGTGGTGGTGGTGAAGCCTTCGGGACTCCCCGCCACCGTATTTTGGCTTCGGGTCAGGTTGTGGTGGTGGTGGGCTGTGGTGGTGGTGGTGATGGTGGTGGTAGTTGTGGCGGTGGTGGTGGTGGTGTGGTTGGTGGTGGTGGTGTTTGTTGTGGTGGTGTATATGGCGATTTGTGTGTGCCCTCTGCGGCCTTTGGGCCCTCTCTGGTCATCGTCGCTGCATTCCCGCCGTCGGTGCTGCTGGCCGCCGCCAGCGCCGGCGCCGAGGGGGCGGGGTTTGGACCCCCCCCTGGGTCCTCTCTGGTCATCGTCGTTGCGTCTGCCGTCGTCGGCGCTGTTGGCGTCGCCAGCGCCGGCGCTGTCGTTTGGGGGGGGGAGGGGAGGGGGGGGCTCAGGGGGAAGGGGAGTTTCTCTGCTTCTCATCGACGGCGCCGAATGTTGGGGGGGGACCCACCCCCCGGCTCGAAACGCGCTGCCGAAAGTTTCCAAGTCAAACGCCCGTGAAACGCGCTCTCTCATTGGTCAATACATGCCTGTGCGCGGCCAGCGTCTCCTGTCCCCTTCGCCAAGTCGGCTGAAGCGGGGCCGCGCGTGCGATCGCATTCCGTCCGCTAGGTTTGAGCGTGCGCGAGTTCGCATGCCCAGTTGTGCCAGCATTGGCTCTTGCATTGTGGGAAGTATGGGCGTTGGCGGAGCCCTCTGAATCGTTTGAACTGGCTTGCTTGTTTCATAGCCATGCTACTCCTATGTGTACTCATGTTTCCCCCCACGTTCTTATTGAATGCTCCCTCTCTCCCGTTCTTCGGTCCTTCTGCAACCCTGGGTGGGACGTTCATTGAAAGCCACGTGAAGACGTTTCTGTTCAACATTGGCATTCGATGCCGATGTTGCGCAGCACGTGGCAAGAATGTGAATTATTTTGAAATTGAGCTCACGATCAGGCGTTGCGCCGGGTTGTTCCTTAACCAAGCCGCGCCTGGGTGTGTGACGAATCGCCCTCGATGAATCACTGCGCAGGTTTCCCCCGAAAATTGACGTCCCTCTTCTGCACGGCGCGCGCTTTTGAATGCAAGTATTTGGGAAAGCTGGGCCGCGCGCCGACCGGCGGAATTTTGTCTTCGTCCTGGAGCCCAGGAGTTCCCCCACGGGTACGTTCCTACTTGGGCGCGGCGCGTGGATTTTCTTCGCAAGGTCGTCGGAAGCAAGACCGCGCTCGCGCGAGCGTTTTTCCCTGCCAGGGGGGCGGGCGCCTTTTCCAATGCCAGTCGCACATGATTTGGTCCTCTTGTTGTGTGGGGAGGGAGGGAGCAGGCCAGTCTTACTGACTCGTCCGAGCTGGCCAGCCTGCCTCCACATCCCGCCCCCAGGTCTGCCAGAACCCCTCCATTCCACCGCCGAGGCCCTTCCTCGTTGCTGCACCCCGGAACTCAAAGCTGCTTCACCGCGGTGCGAGGACGAGGAAAAGGAGGGATAATGCACACGGGCAGGAATATGTTCGGCGGGCGGACTCGTGCGCGACGGGGTCCTCGTCGCTGGTGATTGGCTTGTCCCGGGAAGCCTTGCGCAGACAGCGTCCCAGGCCAAGCTCTGATCTTCCGATGTGCTCCGGGTGGAGGAGGAGATTGGGAGGCAAAACCATCTCTTCTTCAGCCTGTTACCCATCGTCCCGACTCTTCATTTTCCCCTCCTGGTTCTCTTTCTGTTCTCTTTCCCCCTCCACCTGAACCTCCCACTTCCGCTCCCCCCTTCCTCTCCTCCTCATGGGGATCTTGGGCGACTCCGCCGTGGAGGTAGTAGTTCCGAGAGCAGCTTGCGCGTAGTCGGCTGATCATCCCTGGCAGCGATGTTTATCTCGTTTCGGGGAGCTCCACAAGCAGGGAGTGGCGCAAAGACGCCAGGGCCAGGGATTCTGCTGCCAAGTGATTCTTTCCGAGGGGTTCGTCCCGCACGCGCGGGCGCCGTCCTTGGCCTTCCCGTGTTTATTTAGGCCTCCCAGATCGGGTCCGAGTAGATGGAGTCGGAGGATCAAGCCGCATCGCCGATGCATGGCCGATGCGGCTCGATGTGGAGCCCGCATTTCCCCACACCGACGTCGCCGATGCATCGCCAGCGTCGCTGGTGCATATGCATCGCCGATGCATCGGCGATACGGCGCGATCCTCCGACCCCATCTACTCGGACCCCATTTAGGAGGCCTCTAGTTTAGCAGTCCGATTTTGGTCCCGAGTCCCGGTCGATTCTGCCGTGTTCTCTTCCTCCCACGGACCCCCATCTGGTGGCTCCTGGCCGGACGTCGTGTGAGTTTCGCATGGTCTCGCGCGGGGCGGGGAGGTAGTCGCGTTTCGCACGCTGGGGCCCGAGCTGGAGAGTTGCCCGTTTCATAGGTGGCGGTGTCGGCGCGAAGATGTGTGCGCAGCGCGCAGCGCGCGCGAAGCGCTCGCGGCGCGGCTCGCGATTTTGTGTCAGAGGAGGGCCAGTTGAGACAACGGTAGTTGGCCTTCGGAGAGGGCCCTCGTCGCCACGTCTGGACACACCTCAGACAATTGGTGCGTTTGGACCCCTGGAGGGGTCCAGGGGCCGATTTTGATCTGCTGTCTCAACTCGCCCTGCTCCGATCGGGTGCAATCTTGAGTACAGGCTTGCAGTCATCATACATGTCATGATGTCAGGGCCTCCTCCCAGGTTCATCGACCCCGCCGCGAGCAACACGAAGCTCGTCTGGGTTGGACGCGTCGTCACTCCATCCGAGTCGAAACCATGCATTCTGTCTGTGTAGTGCCATCTTCTTGATGTCATACATGTGCCTTGCGTTACATCCAGTACACATCACCTCATCTTCCTTTCAAATGCAATTCACTGTTCTTATCGCTGTGCTTGATGACGGGACACCAGGGGTCATGATACGCGCAGTCTTGGAGAGCCACCACCAATATGGCTTATGTGTAGTAGGGGACGCAGTTCTCTTGCGACAGGGCCGCCAGAGCCATATGCTCTTTTACGAGACGAGGCTCAGTGATTCCGCGGGCGTTATCATGCTTGGGCTGCGTCTCACAAGGGGGCAGTGATATCACTTACATTGTTTTGACTGCGTTCGAGGGCCCTTGATGGGTGGCGCAGGTGAGAAAAGGTTGTGAGGGGAGAGGTTTGCGGGCGAGTTTAGAGCCTTGGGCACCCTGGTGTGTTACACCGATCCGCCCCTCCGCTCGAAATCAGACGGGCGAAAGAAGAGACATAGGAAGACGGATCATACAAACACATACGTTCCGGCTGCACCGAGTTGATTGCAGCAACTCTTCTGCAGGAGACTCTGCCGACGTGCGAGTGCCGCATCGAAACGCGTTCAGGATTGTTCGGCGGAGCTGTCTTGTAAAAAGCCTTTTGGAGGGCTGTCGGGGCGGTCTTGGGCGCTACTCATCGGTCGTTGAAAATCCAGATTCCTGGATTCCCAGATCCCACATCTACTTTAGGCGCTTTCCTACTTCCAGAGTCGAACGCTCCTAGGGACTTTCAGGAGGTCTCTTCGAGCGCCTTTTGCGAGCTACGGAAGGTGTCTCGAGGCCAAGACTCGAAGCGTCGCGCGGTGGACGTTGTTTCCGACTCGGAGGAAAATTCTTTACGCTTCGCGTGTCCCCACCAGCCCATCTCACAGCAGCAACTCTCGCGAAGCATGCCGACAGTCATGTTTTGCAGGCGTGTGTCCGCTTGGCTCCGCATATCTCCCCTGTTCCTCCTTCCCCCCGCCTCCTTGTACATCCTCCTTGTGGGGGGCGCGGGAGAAGGACGAGGCGGAGGAGGAGGGAGAGAAAGCGCTCCTCGTGGTTTGAGTCGTTTGGGGATTCTCGTCCTGGTGTGAGTCGTTCGGGCCCTTCTTCCTGGTGTGACTCGTTCGGGCTCCTCGTGGTGTGAGTCGTTCGGGCTCTTCGTCGTGGTGTGAGTCGTTCGGGCTCCTCGTGGTGTGAGTCGTTCGGGCGCCTCGTCCTGGTGTGAGTCGTTCGGGCCCCTCCTTATGGTGTGAGTCGTTCGGGCTCTTCGTGGTGCGAGTCGTTCGGGCCCCTCGTCCTGGTGTGAGTCGTTCGGGCTCCTCGTGGGGCCTCTTGGGGGCCTCTTGGAGGCTCTTGGGGCCTCTTCGGGGCCTCTTGGGGGCCTCTTGGGGGCCTCTTGGGGGCCTCTTGGGGCGTCTTGGGGCCTCTTGGGGGCCTCTTGGGGGCCTCTTGGGGGCCTCTTGGGGCCTCTTGGGGGCCTCTTTGGGGCCCCTTGGAGGCCTCTTGGGAGCCTCCTGGGGGCCTCTTGGGGCCAGCTTGGGGCCTCTTGCGACCTCCTCAGAAGCGTAAATGACCGCTGCCCCCTGAGAAGGACAAAATGAGCCCAACACCTTCGTACAATCAATGATTTTGCTACGAAGGAAGAGGAGCGCGGCCCCCTCAGGAGGCCAAAATTGAGCCAAAACCCTAGTAAAATCAATATTTGTTGCTTCCAAGACGGTCTGAGGCGCCAAACGGCCCCCCCCCTGGGGGCCAGAATCCTCGTGAGGGTCGTCGTTTTTTGGCCCTCCCAGGAGTCGAAAAAGACCCCCTTGATTGCACTCGGCCCGCCCTCTCCAGGCCCAGGGGGAGGGGGTAGGGGGAGGGGTAAACCCCTCCCCGAAGGGGAAGTAGGGGGTTAGGGGGTTGAGAACAGAGAGAGCTCTCTAAACCACTCACGCCCAAAGGGCTGGTGGGATTATATTGATCAGTTGTGCGAATCCAGGGGGGGAATGGTTCGGAATCTCACAGTGGTCAAGGCCTGGCGGATACCGCAGAATGGTCTCGGATCCGTCCTGAGTTTGTCTTTGGGCATCTGGCAGATGTCTTAGACCCTCTGCGGCCGTTTTGGGGCGTTGGAGGGCGCCAGAGAGCAAACGCAAGGGCGCGGTTCCGCTAACCATCCGCACGTCGAGAGAGGGGTTGCCCGGAGAAAAATGCAGAGAACTTACCAGACAAATATTTGCCAGGCAACCTACCGCGCCCCCAGGTGCTGTGGGCACGATGTCGGATTATCCACTGTCTTAACATTGCACCTCGCGGTTGTCTTCAGACGTTCGGCCAAGAGACCGGGGAGGAGGAGGAGGAGGAGGAGGAGGAGGAGAATGGCGAGGATGAATCCATAAATAAGGAGCGGCAGGTGGTGGAGGAGGTTAGGGGAAGGGGGACGGGGAGGAGCGCCAGGAGCAGGTGGTGGTGTTGTCCAGAGGCTTCCTCGCATGTGCGCTCAAGCTCCACCGCCCCAGCACGGCTGCCTGGGCCTGCCCCCGCAGTCAAACCCGAGATTGCGGGGCTCGGGCATCACCACACGCCCTGCAATCGCGGACACGAGTGATTCTTTGGGGGCCCCTTGGAGGCATCGTTGGGGCCTCGGGTCCTCGCGGGGGCGTCTGGGAGGCCTCTTGGGGGCCTCTGGGAGGCCTCTTGGGGGCCTCTCGGAGCCCCGTGTGGGCGCCTTGGGGGCGCTCTTGCGCTGTCTGGTCCCTTCGGAGACTGTCTTGGGATACTCTTGGGCCGTCTTGGGGGCCTCTTGAGGCATCTCGGCGGCCTCTTTGGGCTGCCTGGGGGCCCTCTTGGGCCGTTTGGGGGTCCTCTTGAGGACTTCTTGGGCTGTCTTGGGGCCACTTCCAATGCTGTTTCGGCCGTCCTGGACCCCTGAGAGTTGACATAGGCGGGAACGCTGAAATCTTCAAACAACCATGGGAAGATCAATGGTTTTTGGCTTCTGGAGGTGCTCTTGGGGTCCTAAGGAGCCCTCTTGGGGCGTCTTGGGGTCTTTGTAGGCCCTCTTGGGGCCATCTTGGGCCGTCTTGGGCCGTCTTGGGGCCATCTCGAGCCGTCTTGAGGCCATGTTGGGCCCCCAAGAGGGCCACCAGGCACAAGCCATTGATGTTCTAAAGGTTTTGGTAGGTTTTTAGGCCCAGGAGGGGTCCACCATCTTTGGGTCGGTGGAAGTGGCGTGGCCTTTTGGGGGGGTCAGGGGGGGAGACATAATAATGTGACACCATACAATATGCAGCAATTGTGCAGTCATTGGAGAACTGGGATACGTTGCATTATTGCCTCCGCAGACCTGCCTCCGGCAACACGTCACCTCCGGACGTGGATTCTACAGGCTTACGCCATATCCGCCGACCCCTGTCTAAACTACTGCGCGTCCAGGACTGCATTCCACGAGGCTTGTCCGATTCCTGGGAGGTTCTTTGGGGCGTTTGGGAGCTCTGTTCGGTCTCCCTGGGGGCTTCTTGGGGCGTGTTGGGGGCTTCTTGAGGCAACCTGGGGGCGTCCTGGGGCCGAAGGCTGGAAATGTTTCCCCCTGTGGGCCCCTTTTTGGCGCCGTCCGGGGGCTCTCTGTGGCCGTCATCGGGGCTTCGTTGGCGGTCTAGGGACCCATGTGGACCGTCTTGAAGCTGTCCTAGGGGTCTTTTGGGCCGTCTTGCACGCTATGAAAGCGCAAGAGGCGAATATGTTGAAAACATACGTTTCCCCAAGGGAATGGGACAATTTTCACTTCTTCGGTGCCTTTCAGGAGTCCTCGTGGAGGCCTCTTGCGGCGTTTTGGCGTTTTGGAGGCATCTTGGGCCGTCTGCATGCCATTTCGGGCGTCTTGAACGATCATTCGACGATTCGGGGCCCTCTTGAATCGTCTTGGGCCCACCAGGGGCCCTCTCGGCCTGTTTTGGGGCCCTCTACGCTCACATGACGCGTTCGTCCGGGGCCGAGGGGGGTCAAATCTCCGGTTTGGGGTCCCTGGGGGAGGGTTATGGGGGGGGAACCGTCTCACACGCCTAGAGACCCAGAAGGGGTCGGCGGATTCAGGCGATCGCAAACATGAATCAAGGGGGCGTGGACTACCGACGGGCCCCGTTTCCATGGGAAATCGCGGATTCCCGCCGCCGAACGAGGCGACATCTGCCGCATTTTGGGGAGGGCACCTCCCACGATCCAAGGATCTGGCGACTGTGCGCCAAATCCATGGATCGCTAATCCATGTTTGCGAGCCCCCGAAATTGCGGATAAGAGTGATGGGGGGGCGCCTGGGCCGCTTCGTTGACCTGCGGGGCTCGAGCCTCGGTGCAACGAGGCCCGCCGTCGGCGACCGCAGTTTTTAACCACCCAGCCCGCCGCAGGCGCCGACTGCTATATGCAAACAGGGTGGGTGGTTCGCGCAACTATTGTAGAGAAGCCCGCCGCAGGCGACGAGGTCGTTGCAAAACAGCGTGGGTGGATCTGGGGTGTTCCGCGGCAGGGTCGTGGGGGAGTCGCAGGGTGGCTGGTTTTGTTGATTGAGGATGTCCCGCGCGAGGGCGCCGGTTTTGGAATTCGTCGCCGGATCTCTTGGATTTCCGAAGAGTTTGAGGGTTTCCCTGGGGAGGCTCGGGGGCCGGTTTTCTGAGGATGTCCCACTCGAGGGCGCCGGCTTGGAGTTCGGCCCCGCATTTCCCGGATTTCCCAGATTTCCCGGAAACGGAACGGGGGGTGCGGTTGGCGGGCCCTTCCTTCGCGCGCTCGGGGTCAGGATGACGTGAGTTCTCAAGACTAACTTCCTCAAATGATTCATTCGGGTGGGTACGCATGGGGGCGGGTATAATCCCTATGACTATGGGCGAGGACTCTTATGAGGGTTGTATTGAAGGTGCCGACTGCCCGTCGGCGAATTAGGTGCCGAATAGCGCGGGCATGGCTTAACTGGGGGATTCAGCCACGCGCAGAGGGGGGTAGGGGGAGGGGGGAAGGCTTCTTGGAAGCTCTAAGAAGCTTGCTGTTGCTTCTTAGAAGCTGTTCCTGGCGTGGTTCTAAGAAGCAGGTGACTTGCTTCTAAGAAGCTGCCTTTGCTTCTAAGAAGCACTTCCGTGTTTCTAAGAAGCTGTTGGGCTGCTTTTAAGAAGCGGCGCACCCCTGGCTTCTCAGAAGTGCGGCCAGCGCCTTCTGAGAGGCAGCCGCCTTCTAAGAAGCTTTCCTCCCTCCCTCTACCCTCCCTGCGCGCGCCGCCAAGAGATAGAAGAGGGTGTGAAGGAGAACCAATAGGACGGAGATGGTCGAGGAGAACCGGTAGGAAGAACAGTGCCAGCGTCGGAGAACGTGGAGAAGGATGAGACTTGGTAAAGCATCACTGAAAACAGAGGAAGAGACATCATGCAGATGATGATGATGATGATGATGATGAGGAGGAGGAGGAGGAGGAGGAGGAGGAGGAGGAGGATGAGGAGGAGGAGGAGGAGGAGGAGGAGGAGGAGGGACAACTGGAGCAAAGGACAAGTAGTACGTATAAGGATATTGAGTGGGAAGGGCACGGGCGAGAAAGAGGATGACGAGGACGAGGACGACGACAAAAACGCGACGACAATGATGACGACAAGAGTGCAGGCCGATCAGGAGCAAGAGGACGGCGAAGACGCGCGAACAGGATTTGGAGCCACCCTGGATCAAAAACGCTCTTTGGGGATACTGGCCTCTGGCTAGAATTTATTGATTCTAGCGTCTCCACATTCCTCCCTTTGGCATCCTTGTATTGTGGTGGGTTCCTTGTTGCGCAAACGCGGGAGAACGTGGTCGCCAGGGTTTTGCTTTGGCCCAGCCTCCTGCACACCTGGTTGCCTCGTTTCTTTTCCAGCCCCCATTCTTTGTAGGCCATCCGTTCGACCTATGTTGATTGTACCTCCTCGTTTTGTCGTCGTCCTCGTTCTCTTCTACTTCATCTGTTGTTTGTGATTCCTCTCCGTTCCCTCTCTCTGGCGGCCCTACAAGATGACCGCGGTCGCCGCCCTCGTCAGCATCCTGTGGTTGGCAGGGGAAGTAAGCATGTCTTGTCCTCCTCCCCCTCATCATCGTCCCTCTCTTCTTCTTCCCCTCCCCAGAGCGCGCCCCTATTCTAACCAGCAATATTAGGCAGTACCCGTACTACTTCCTGACCCCCAGCGATAGGGCGCAACCGGGAGGGGGCAGAACATTTGCGCCGAATGCATTGCCGGGGGAGCCCAGGGCTGGCTTGCGGGGTTGCGGTGTTCGGTCTCAGATGTAATAAAGCCCGCCGTGGTGGCGGGGAGGAGGAGGAGGAGGAGGAGGAGGAGGAGGAGGAGGGGGAGGAGGGGGAGGGAGAGGAGGAGGAGGGGGACCACGAGGAATAATACTGAGGGAGGGGGTCCGTACGTATACTGGACTGTCCGCATATTGGTCCGTGATTGTACGGCAGATTATCCTGTCGTCTTCTAGCACGCCTACCGTCTGCAGGAGCTTCCTCTCGTGTGATGCCTCTGGGGCACGGCATGACCGTGCCGCACGGGGATGTGCGTGGCCCGCGTGGAGTCCCCCGAGGAGGCGGGGAGCGATCATGCGCGGGGCCGTCCCGAACTGCTGCCCGGGCTTGAGGGGGCGCTGAAAAAAAGCAGGTGAAATTCGGGGGCCCCCAAACAGGGGGTGGTGACCATACCGTGCGGTGAGTCGGTGGGGATTCGGGGTCACTGCACGGTTTTGGGACTCGGGTCGTTCTCCGAGGACCTCTCGGGCGATTGGGGCCTTTGAGGTCCCAAAACGTGCGTTGACGGACCGTGCGGTGAGGTCTTGGGCAATTTCGAGGTCACCACACGGTCTGTCACCGCACCGTTTCGGGACTCAAAAGAAACCCTGAACCTCGGCAAACGGTCAATCTGAGAAGAGATAAGGCGCATTTTGCGTGCGTTGTCGCCGGGTCTGGCCAAGTGTTGAGCGTCCTTCCGCGTTTGGCGGCAAGTGGTGGCGCACCCGAACAAGTCGTTTGCAGACGAGGTCTGGGCTGTACTTTTGTTGGCAGCGTAAGTCTCGCGCAGAAGCCGCAGACGGCCGAGGCAGTCAGTGCGACGAAGCCCACATTCCTGGAGCTGGTCCAGTCAGACGTCTCTGGGCTCACGCAGTGCGAGGAAGAGCGGCGGTGGAAACCAGGTGGGCGGTAGCCGCAGAGGTGGCACAGCTGAAGCAGCAGCCTTTCGACTTGCTGGCCCATGTGTCAGCTCACGAGGTGCAGCTCACAAAGGAGGTCGCAGAGCCGCGCGATAAGCTGGCCGTGGAGAGGTGGCAGCGACTGGTCGCTGCGGCCGCGGCAGCCGCCGAAGCGGCGCAATTTATTTCGGCATCTGCTGTCGAACCTACAGCCAACATTGCCGGGGGGCCAAGCAGACTTGCTCCGAGCGCTATGGTGATCGTTGTTTTATTCACTGTTTTGTCGATCGGCGCAGGCCCTCGCCCCCCCCCTATGGAGTAGATATTGGCTGTTTTTGGCGCCTGTTTCAGGCAGGTGGAGCCTCCTCCAAAGGACGCGCTGTCGCAAACAGTCGCATTAAGCAGAGGTGCGGAGCCAGAGCCCCCTCCCCCTCCTTCCCTTTTCCGCCGAATGTCGAACCGCCGAAAAAAAACGCTCACAGGACACTCGGGCGGACATGGCAAGCAGTGGCGACCAAGCCCTTGTTCTTTCAGCCGCGGAGGAACCCATCCTCGAGGCCTCCAGGTGCATCGAAAGATAGAGTCGCGGATGCTCGATGGGGGCAGCCTCACAGCGGTTGCTGCAGTTGGAGAGGCTGCCTGCTTGGATTCGAAACTGCAGCACAGTCCAGGTGCCTCTCTGCACCGGTCCGCTGGTGCTCACGAGAAGGCCAGCAATAAGAGGAACGAAGAGCATGCTGAGCCGCGCGGTGTCCGAATGAATCCAGCGAGGGCGACACGAAGGACAGTTGGCAGACAAAGCTCTGGCGCTGCCCGACGCGACGTGACGCCGCAGTCATTAGGACTTGAGACCAGCGGTCAGACGATGTCCATGTTGACCGAGTGGAGCACCATGGACAACAATTCACGGGGACAGGTCTTCCTCGGCGTGATTATGCCCGACCTACGTTGCATGCCGCGGGTCGAAGGTTCCCTCGACGTGGACGCGAAGGATCTTCTGACCGTGTCTGCGCTCACAGGTAAGGCCGGCCAGGGCCTAGCAGGCGTTGCGCGGGGCTTCATGGGCGCTCCACATTGTTTGTCCCAGTGTACGTACTAGGCTCAGCGAGAAGGTACCTCTGCGGGGAGAAGCGCGCCAATCACAAGAAACATGGATGCTCCATTGCCGGGCGTGTGACTCTTAGGCAAACGAGCCATACCTCATCTCATTATTGCGAAGGCCTTACGGCCGGTGCCGCCGACCCTGAAGATAAGGACGCTGACCACGACGAGGTAGAAGGAGGAGAAGTAGGACGAGCAGGGGGAGAAGCCGCAGGAGGGGGAGGAGGAGGAGGAGGAGGAGGAGGAGGAGGAGGCTGAGCAGGATGGGGAGGAGGAGGTGGAGGCAGAGGTTCAGGGGAAGCGGAATGGAGGGGGAAGGGGGGCATACCTCCTCTCATTATTTGCTTGTGTCTCTGACTAGATGATACAGGTGAGCAGGCCGCTGGAGCGGAGTTGATAGTTCCCTGGAGCAGTCCCCCCCTGCACGATTCCTCTGCCGACCCTTGCCTCGGACCGCGGTGACCAGCCTAAGTTCAGGAGGGGAATACACACAGACAACGAATCGTCGACTTCCAGGAAAACATAGGAAAATATGGGAAGTGGGGGGGGAAGACGAAAGCTCAGCGCAAATGGAAAAATATTGGGAATCTTGGGATTTGTGTGATAACTGTTCACAGCCAGCCGTGGGCCCAGGAAACTGAGGCAGGGCATGACGCCAGACGTCAGGCAAAGATCAGGTTATTCCTTCTAGCAAGGGCCCTGGTCACCACGCTGATCGAAAGGAGGTGGTGCGAGAGACACGAGAGAAGTCGCATCAGCAGCTTAATGTTCTGACCCAGTCCGTCAACATTATTGTGTGTTGTTTCACGCTCCCCTTTCGGGGGCGGAACGGTTGGGGCAGCCCGCGGCGCAGGGACATCGTAGGGATTGGGCGCAGGGGCGCCTAGGTGCAGAAACACCGCGTCTTCTCGTTCATCTCTTTCCCTGCCCTTTCCTGCTGGCACTGGTGCTTCTACTGCCCCAGCAACCCGCTCCGCGCCGGCCAATATGTCCAGCGCCCGAGCGGTTCTGATAAACCAGATCAGTCAAATTGTGGATGTTCTTTCCCTAAGTGTGGTGGATTGTTTTCCTTCCCCACCCCTCACATCAATGCGGAGGCAATGGGCTCGCTGCCCTTTTCAATGGGAGTGGGAGGGGGGGACAGGAGATCCAGAGGTCGTTGTGGAGGACGGAGGGCGAGCATAGCCCACATGATGGCCGTCCCTTCAGGGCCATGCCAACAGGCGTGGACGGCCCAGGGATGTTCAGGAAGGCGGGGTTGTCAAAACTTGCGATGCAGTTTTGGGTCCAGGGGTCTTCGGAAACACCTATATCCTTCTTTCCTGTGTTCCTTCCTCCCCTCGGCCTATATTTTTCTCCTGGGCGTTTCTTATCGTATCCCCCTGTACGCTGCTGTCCTTTTTCGTGCATGGACTTGCGGACTGAAGCGCGCGACGTGCAACGAGTAAGGAGGAGGCGGGAGGGGAGATGGGGGAGGGGAGGGGGCAGGGGGAGGACGAGGGGAGGTGATGAGGGGATGGTATAGTGAGGGACGGATCGGAGGCTTTGCTTTACTGCAACAGCGCCCCCATTGCACGGACATGGGCGGCAAAAGGCTGTTGATCGAAAGGGTGGCATCTACCCAAAGCCGTAGCCGTTTCCTGCCTCCTGGGGCGGCAGGGGGGCCCAGTGCGACACCGATTTCTTTGTGGCTCCGCTGGCTCGCGGCTAAGGGCTCAAGGCAGGTCGTTACCACGCCGTCGGCGCAAGCATATTGCCATTCGCCCCGCCTCCGCTTCCTCTCGATCTTTCCACTTCTCCTTCCTCTCCTCTCCCCCCTCCGTGCTCTCCCCTGCCTCGATTCGTCCCTTGGGGCACGGGAGGCTGCCGATCATCCACCACAATCAGCAGGGCCTCTATCTGGACACGCGGCTGCCGCCTCCCCCTCCCCGTCTCCGCAGTCCCTTCGCCCCTCCCTTCCCCTCCCCGAGCTTGTCTTAGTGCCCCTCATGCGCCGTCGTCCTCCCAAGCTCCGTGTCCTCGCGCCCGCCACCCCCGCAGCTCCGCTCCACATGGCCACCATCCCACCGGGGAGGTGGAGGATGAGTGGGGATGGGCTGCTTGGGGAGGGGGGGATGAGGAGAGCGAGGAGGGGAGGAGGAGGAAGAGGAAGAGGAGGCAGAGGATGACGACCACTCGCCAGTCACCTGATGACAGAACTGCCGACAGCTCACAGATCACAAGAGGAGGAAGGGGAGCAGGAACACCCGTCTATACATAGATTCTAGACTGCAGGTGCGTAATTGTATCCGTGCACTTCTCCATGCCTGAAGGGGTCTGCGCAGGTGCTTCATGTCATGCACAAGGGTTCTCACAAGCTTGTCCGTCGACCCACCATGTGCGGGTATCGGTTCACGGAGGCTTGGGGTATATGTTGCTTTCTTCTCCCATCGTATTCTCCTTTCGTTCCCGCGGTTTTTCCTGCCCCCGCTCCTGCCTCCCCTTCTTTCGAGCGCTGCCATCTCCACAGCAGCAGGGCTCGGGGCCAGCCTCGCCTGGGAACCTGCGCCGAGCCGAAACGCGGCACCGTCGGCTTGGAACGGCTGGTGCACGGCACGGCGTTTCCAAGGCAACGGAGGGTGCCTATTAGGTTGTAAGAGAGGCGGAGACAGCATTGAACATTGTGCTGTCTGAAGCAGTTTCCACACTTTGTGTAAACAGCACCTGGGCCTTTCCCGCCCTCCAGCGGCGGCGTGCCTGGGGGATCTCTTGGGCGTGGTGCCTTTGCAGTCCTCCTTCCCACCCCACTTGCACTCGGGATCCGCCATTGCTTCGGTAGCGGCCCTCTGGGCCTTCGGCGCTTACGCTCGTTATAAGGCGCACAAGGTGCACAACGTTACTCGTCATGGCCTCCCCTGGGGCGATTGTGCAGAGGCCTTCCGCGGGTTCCTCCGCAGGGCCGCCCTGGGGCGCCACCCAGCTCAAAGTCTGGCCCAGTCCGTCTTTAAAGGGCCCTGTGGGAGCTCCTAGCGTTCTCTCTTTCCTTCCTCGTCCCTCCCTCTCCTTCCCTCCTGTGTTTCTCGGTCGTCATTTTGATGGGCCTGGTCAGCCCCTCCTTTCAAGCCTGGCATTCAAGATTTAGCTTTCCAGCACCATTCGTGCTTTCGATCCGTCGGCTCGGGGCTGATACGCATTCAGGGTGAATTCGTATCGATTGTGGTGTGCTTTCTCCCCCCCCTTCCCCCTCCTCCTCCTCCTCCTCCTCCTCCATGGCCCCGCAGCGAGTCTCGCGGGAACCGACATCTAACGGGCAGTCTGTCTTGTGGGATTGAGTTCATCAGCAGCGGCGCCTCCGTCGTATCTCTGGTTGGCATTGTTTTGGGCTCTGTCTAAGAGCGCCCCAGAGTTTTCTTGGCCAGCATTTGTCATGGGCGCCGACCACCCTGACGAGTTCCTTGGCAGGCGACTTGATGACATTTCTGTATACACGTGCATCTATGTTCTTGCTGCTTCGCGTCTCCCCACCAGCCCATCCAAATCTGTCCTTGGGCGAGTTGTCTTGATTAGGGAAGTGTAAAATGTATCATTACGCCGTGCAAGACAGAGAGGGGCTTGTGTATATATATATATATATACACACGCGTTCGCGGCTCTGTCGAATGACAAGGGCAAGGGTGAGGCGGAGGAGGAGCATAACCGGCTGTTCGATATTCATGCTCGGCTTCTCTCGGAGGCCAAGAATCATTCAGCACAACGGAACCCCTAACCCTGATAACGCAATGAACTCGTGGCTTAACTTAGGCGCACGGTGTTTAGAATGTCCCTAAGCACATGGGTGGCTCCGTATGATTCATCTGCAAGCCATATTCCCTATCCCTAATGTAGTGTGATTGGCCCTCGTAACTTAGGTCCCCTCCCAACGGCTTGGGGGTACTTGCATTGCTTGTCGTTGATATCAGATTTTCTCTGCTGCTTCTCTTGGTGCTGCTGCTGGTGGTGCTGCTTCTGGCGGTGCTGCGCTGGTGGTGCTGCTTCTGGTGCTGCTGGTGCTGCTGCTGTTGGTGGTGGTGCTGCTGCTGCTGGTGCTGCTGCTGCTGTTGCTGCTGCTGGTGCTGCTGCCCGTGCTGCTGCTGGTGCTGCCGTTCCTGGTGATGCTGCTGGTGTTGCTGCTGGTGTTGCTGCCAGTGCATGCAGGTTATTCAGGTGGTGATGTTTTTGGAGCTGCTAGTGCTTTTGTAGTCACTGCTGTTGGTGCCGCTGCTCGTGGTGCTGTTGGTACTGCTGCTGGCGCTGCTGCTGGTCAAGAGACGTCATGAGGATGAGAGACCCAAGTAGGACAGGTCAAGGAGGACGACAATTCCCGAGGCCGCCTCTGTTGCCTCCCCGGTTCCCTTGGCCCTCTCGTTGGTCATGCGGCCCACGCCTTGGGACGTGCCTCCGAGGTGCCGAGGCCGGGTCCTCGGCATGGTCAGGTCAGTTGCGCCCACCTGATCCGCAGGGCCTGCGGCGAGGCCTAGAACACATCAACAGGGTGAAATTGAAGCCAGGTGGCGAGATACTATGGGTATGCACGGATAAGGCTTGCTAGTGTCTCTACAACCCTAGACGCAACAAGGGTACAGTAGAGCACAGGACTGAGAAGTGCTTAGACACAAACTATGCGCATGCGACGGAGTAGTATAAGACATGGGACTATGGATATATACAGCAGCATCACGGCCACGTGCAAACACTAAAGATATAATGCCACGAGTTGCTGCTGCTGCGCCTGCCCGAAGACGATAGACAGCAACACAAATCACAAACATGTGGACTGGCACGCCTGCAAGCCACATGCTGGCGGGCGCTCCCACGAGGCCTGTCCACTCAAGGTTCATGGCAACGAGGCCAGACAGGAAACTGAGCTGGGCCCATGCGACCCACAAAGTACGGATGTGGCGACGCCACCGGCGGCGGAGCCAGCTCAGAACAGGATTGCGTCGGTTGTACATCACTCGTCGGCGTTCTCTTTGAAGTAGTTCACTAGCTGCTTGAGTTTTCATGCTTACTCTGTCCAGTTGTTGTTTTGAGAGCGTTTTTTCTTTGAGAACGTTGTTAGTGCCACTCTGGGTGGGTCCATCAATATCTGAGATCATGACGATGCAGGCCTCCCCGTCGACTGGCCAGTCACTGACATCCGTATTTGGGTTGAGGATCCCCAGGGTCTTCTGAGCAGCTGGGCTACCTTTCTCCATCGCAACACTTGGACGGCCCTTCGGCGCAGCTTTTGCATCGGCGCCAGCATCGAGGCCGTATCTTTTTGAATAGGTGCAACGGGTATGCGGAGGAGCTTCGCATTTTCTTTTGCTTTTTTGTCGCAGTATCTTTGGCCCCGAGGAGCACCATTGCGCCTGCGTCTTTCGACGCCGTGAGAATGGCTGTCATATTGTGATCGTTGTTGGCGGGCTTGCTCGGCCGGGTGCAATAAATAAAGGATTTGCTTTTGAATCTTGGACGTGGACTTTTTCTCCTTGTTCTGCTGATGTGCAACTTTTTAAGTGCGCTGGATCACTTTTGACTCGCCGTCGTCTTTATTGCCCGTCATGTGGAGCATTGGAAGCACCATGTGTGAGTTTCGTGCGTTCTGAAATCTTCAGCATTCTCTTTTTCACCCTGATCTTCGGAATCTTTGCCGCGTTCAACTTCGGGGCTCCATCGCCACTTGGCATGCTGGTGGACGTTGTTTCTGAGCTGCTGGTAGATGCATCACTACCCGCTTTCTTGGGCGCGCGGCCTGCTTCGAGCCGCAGGAATTTGAAGCGGCACGCTGTCTATTGTCCGCCACATGTTCCGGTCGAGCTGTCGAGGTCTATTCCGGCCGCTCTAACGCCGGAGCGGCGCGCGACGCAAGCGCGCGTCATCCGTGGGAGACTTCGCACGCTGGAAACCTATGCCAAGAAACGCTCTGATTGCTTCCAGGGCACCCTGGGTTTCTTGGGCTTCGATGATTTCGCGATGGAAGGCGCAAATTTCCCGCGCCAGAATTCAGCGGGCGCCCCGGGAGCTCCCACTGCACAGCCGCTCTCGTGTTTTCCGGCGGCGCGCTGTTCTTCGCGATCGCGGCAGGTGGCCCGCAGACCACGAGTTGCCGTGAGAGAGTGGGTCCAACCTGTTTGTCGGCCCCTGTTGCGGGCATTGTTGCGGCGGCGGTCTTTGGTTCTGGATTCTGGCAGGGGTGGCGCCGAGCGCCGCCGCCGCGCCCGCGGCCGCGGCCGCTTTCACCGCCGCCTCCACGGTTGCCCCCCCGAACCATAGCGCTCGGTTCTGCCGCGGTCGGAGACGCAAGAGCGAGGGGCAGCGCGAGCGCATTCCACGCGGCGCAGCGATTGCGTTTGAAGATGGAATGGTTAAGCCACGAAGGCGCGGATGAGGATTGAAAGGGGCCTGGGGCTCTCGCCCGGCACTCGCTCGCCCGGGCTCGACGCTTCCCCCGACCCCCATGTCGCGTCTTGCCGGCAGACGACCAACCTGCGAGCGATGTTCCAGGAAATTCGATGCGCGTCGTCGCCGGCGCTGACGAAAAGTTGTCCCCGACTTGTATTTCGGGCCACCCGAGCAGGAGTAGTCTGGCAATGATGTCGGCCGACGCGCTTCGCGCGTGCTCGGGTTCTTTTTTTGCCATCGCACGATAGCTAATGGGCCGCCCTTACGCGGAGGTTCATGACCTCTGTCGCAGACAGGAGGGAGCCGAGAGGTAGATCGGGAATTTGGCACGTTTCGGATTGGGGCTGTCGCCGACGGCAGAATCATGGTTGCCTGAGACAGCGCCGAACTGAAACTTTGCGTGAAGGTCAGGGGCGCGGGTGCGCCCACGGAGGATAGTGAGGCGAAAGGGGGGGCACCTTCGCATCCGAGGGTCACGTCTCGATGGGACACGCCCTGCA